AGCCTTGTGACAAAATCTTTCATTTGATAGCAAGACCTTTGAATTGACTTTGGAGTTTGACCTACTTTTTAAAATATTTAACCTTGACCATTACTTCTGACCGGTTAGGGCTAGGACTTTCATACTTAACACATGTATATTTGTGGCAAGACCTTTCATTGGATACCAATAACATTGACATCGAGGATTTCTATACTTATGATAAAACTTTAGCATTCTCCTACTTTATATTTCCAGTGGACTTTTACGAGAAACGCTGACTTTTACAATCGACGCTTACATTTATATTTAAACCTGCCTTATGTAAGGAGGCACAGAATTGATAATATTCATTTATTCTGTGGATATAATTAAATCCAAAATAAAAGTAAGATCGAAGATGACTTTAAAATTGACGACCACGCGATGAAAATTAGTGTATGATTGAATGATTGCATGTTCTTTACGTCCAGTATAAGAATTTGTTCCCTCAAATAGAGACGTGATCATATATTGATTGGGATTTCTTTATGAAAAAAGTGATTTCCAGTTAACAAAACACATATTACCAAAAAATGATTGAAAATTCTAAAAGTACAGTAACTAGTACTTCAAATAAATGAAGCTATAAATTATACCAATTTAAGAAAAAATAACTTAAAAATATTTCAATCTTATACTCTTTATATTGATTGAAGAAAAAATTGTAATAAAATGTTTTATTTTTATTTCTTCTATAAATGAGGCCATATACAATATAAAAAACTCGTCGTAATTTATATCTACGTTTTCTCCACACACTACTCAAATATATACATTTTGATTTTACAAATTGTTCGCTCTACCGTACATATGTCTTCTAAAATCAGGCTATTCATGCAATATCTGACAATTTCCTTATATCAATAACACCCCGACTGTGTATCTGTTGTATAGTGAAAAGGGTTATGATTGCAGGCACGTAGCAACCGGAGGGGGGCACTTTTTTCCCAACATTACTTTAGATATTGGAAAGGATGGTTCCCGCCCCCCCCCCCCCACACACACACACACACACTTGATACTACAGGAAGTCGATTATGTGGAAATGTAATATTGAATGTAAAGAAAAATTGTTACTTAAAGAAGTTGGCATTGAAAAATGCTTGCCTCTCCTAACCCCCCCCCCCCCCCCCCCCCCCCCCCCACACACACCGAAGAAGGATTTTCAAGTTTGGGCAATTTTTTTTATTAACTTATTTTGCTTTTCAACTTTTTCCGGTAAGTCAAAAAAAAATTATCTCAGATCTCAAGCTGCCCCCCCCCAATTTCAAAAACGATGCTACGTGCCTGGATTGGATGTCCGTTTGGATAAATTCTGTCACCTAGAAAAAGGCATTCATCCGGAAATTAGAAAATAGGGGGAATTAATATTGTTACTGTATTTACAGTATTGATAAAGTATTGTTTAATCTGGAAAGTCATGAAACAGTCAATATTAAGTTTTCAATTTTTAAGATATTGAAATAATAGAAAAGGCTACTGCTTGTGTGATCATTCAAAACACAAGGGTCGTGCATGCGTAATTAACAATACCATGTGTTCCTGATCATGCGTCATTGTATGCACATTTTGGTTAAAATTATAATAATTCATATAATATATGAACTCGCACGGATCCCGATTTTTTTTCCAAGGGGGGGGGGTTCTAATCTAGTAAGAAAAAATACACAACCCAAAATTCTCTTGTCATGAAAATTTAATGTAGTGAATAATTTGCAGTTTTGTCCCGAACAAAACATCAGAATAGGAAAATTAATACCGGTATGACTACAAACAAGACTATATCAACGTGTTTAAAATAATCAACAGATAGGGTGAATTCATGGATTATTTAGTCAATTTCATTTTACTCCTACGTATAATCTAGCCAAAGAAAAATTCAATATGTAAAAAATGTATTAAAAGCGCTAACATGGTATACAATATGAATTTTACATGTGTTATAGAGAGCTAAAATAACAATTTGTGGATGTGTAGGGGTTTTAAAACGGGCGGTTGCAACTATAACAAATATTGTCTATATTATAGTTAACTTTAATTTGCTAGAAAAATCAGAAAAATGGCTGTAGAATATTAAGATAATTTTTTGAAATTTATAGTAAAAATGTTTTAATTTACTTTAGTCAAAACTTAAAAAAAAATTTACAATATACAGTAACTTTACTTAATTAAGAGTTAACTAATGTTATCTAGCTCGTGTACTTTTTGGGGAATTCCTTTTCCGAACAACGTAATATTTTCTTTTTAAAAATGGAGTCGCCCACTTGACGCAGTGGTTGTATATATAGAGCGTCTACTCTAGAGTCGCGAAATAAGGAGTCAATTCTTACGTCGCGGGTTCGAATCCCACTGTGGGACGTGGAGACCGGTCCTTCGGATGAGACCGTATAACCCGAGACCCCGTGTCGCAGTAGGTGCTGGCAGGAAAAGATCACTCCCTGCTCATTTGCCCTAAGTGCCGAGTATAGGACAAAAATTTGCAGCTCTCCACCGGCAAGTGGTGGCGTCTCCATATGAGTGAAAAATTCTCGAGAGTGACGTTAAACAATACAAAATCAATCAATAAATCTTTTTAAAAATGACCAAATTGTTGTATTTTATTATCAACTGTTTATTTCAATATTTATATTAAAAACGAGCTCCCGTACATTTTACCTGTGTAAAAGTAAGCGTCGATTATGAAAGTCAGCGCTTCTCGTAAAAGTCCAGTAGGAATACCCTACTTTTGGTACCGAGTTAAATTTGCAGTTGAGAAAAGTTTAATCTTTGCTATGTTGCCATACGGGGGCATCAGTGTTTCACAAACACCTCTTGTTTTTATTTAATGTGTGGTCTTACCGAAGTAATTTATGTATTCATTTTATAATGCTCTCAATTTCGTGGCACTTTTCAAGTTAAGTATACTTTAGCAAATTATACAAATACAACAATAGGCTATTTCATTGCCAAATTTATAATATATGATGAGTAAAACTGTATTGTAAATTATATATAAAAAAAACTCTAAATTCTACGTCTTGTTTCAGAAGGGGGGGGGGGGCAGCGAAAAATGAAAAAAAAAAGGTTACGATTTTTCCTGTTTGTACGGAGTGCTAAAAATATGACAGATAGAAAGGATTTATATTAAAAATCTAAAAATAATTAAATGTATTCATATTTCTATTTTTAAATTTTCAAGAGCATATTTTTAATTTTTTTTCATTTATTACAATAATTTGCTGACTGACATTTTTTCATGCTAATTGCTAGTCCATTATTTATATATTAAATTGACGACGGATTTTCCAGTTTTTTCCCGATCATTACAAGGAACACACGGCGGGTGTGACAGGTCAGCAGAGGTTGCTCGCTCCTCCATGGCATCTCATCCCACTTCTAATGTTTCGGAGGTCTCTGTTTGTTCTGCTCTTATTTTGTATTGTTTAACTTTTGTAATGTAAGTTAAAAATATTCACATGAATGATGTATTATTTAGAAAATAACTCATAATAGTTTAAATATATTCATATTCAACAAATTCATGGTTCAAATGTTTTTTATATCATGAAAATGTTGAATTAAATAAAAATAATAAATTGATTAAAATATTTTCAAATTTCACTCTGCCACAAATATTTTATTCAAATTGTTTTAACTCCGCAGAAACGCACGAATACTTCAAACTTTCATATCAAATAACCGACCGCCTCCTAGCAGCCGGTAATAACGAACAGTGATCAAAATCAAAAGTCCATAAAACAATACTCAATAGGAGCAGAGCAAACACGACCTCCAAAAAACAGAGGTGGGATCATGTGCCATGGAGGAATGAGCATCCCCTGCCATCCGGTCACATCAGCTGTGTCCTCCTTGTCATGATCGGAAATTGATGGGAATATGCAACAATTCAGTGTATTTTATATATAAGTAATGGACTAACAATTAGTATGAAAAACGTCAGCATTTGACTCAATGATAAATTGTATTTGCTGACAAGGTCATTGTATCGACCATAGAACTTACGAAATGATGTCTTTAAACGAGACTGCTGATATTATTGTTTCATGGACTTTTTTCAACAACTTACTTCGTTTTAGAAATTTTTCATAAGCAGAGCATGCTTTTGCGTATCAAAACAACTGAGATATATAAACTCCGTAATCAGGTGATGAAGGTATACTGCTACATAAGTAAGGAACGTTGACGATAGAAAAGTCAAAGTCATCACGTTTATCACTTGATTTAAAATAAATTTACAATAGAGAGCACATCACAAATGTTTGTGCAGATAATTAATTTTGCTTCCGACATTTTCACGTTATACAGTATTTTTTAAAAAATACATTTTCAAATAATGTTACTCATTTGTACATGTATTCATGTACATGTTTATCTACTTAATAATTTTGCTGAGATTTTAATGATTTGTATTCAGTTAAGAATATGAAAAAAACATGTATCGACAAATGCTTCTGACTTGTTTGTATACTTTCTTAAAGTGTACACTGTGTAAAATTAGTAATTTCTCTATCTTGGTGAAAAAAATTGTTCAAGCATTATCAGATATTTAGAGATATTCCATCGATCATAAGAATGTAAAGAATTTTCATCTAAAGAAGAAATACATGATTTTCAATGTGTACAGTACAAGAGCGTGTATTCACTTGTGATTTTATTGTAAGAGAACACACATATCTGATTCATATGATTTATAAATGATATCCCTTTCATATGATTCTCATATCCTTGAAAAACACTTAACTTTTTTCATATGCAATTCATTTGAAGTCATTTTCGTATGATTCACTATGCGATGATTCACATATGAGATTCAGATGTGCACACTTTAAACAAGAAAGTATACAAACAAGTCAGAAGCATTTGTCGATACATGTATTTTACATAAATTTTTTCTTAATTGAAAATCATCATACAGTTTAACTATAACTGAAAGATATTACCAATATTATATAAATTTAATTTTTGTTTTAAAGTGTTAAATGGCTACTTCATCATCATCATCGTCATCATCTCCTGAAAAACTCCATAGATCGCTTCTGTCCGACCTTCAAAGTGACTTTCTTGGCGAAAAAGTGGATGATAATAGAACATTCCAGAAATGGAAACAGTTTCTAAAGCTAGTGTATGAAGGACCAAGATATCAAGATACATCTGTCTTTGATGATTTCAATCAACTGGAGAAAGATGGAAAACTTGGAGTTGGAGAATACGGAATATTGAAAAAAATTTTAAAACACGTTGACCAAAGAGCAGTGACGAAAGTTGAAGAAACTGAAAAAGACATAAAAAAGTTAAGAGGTAACTCCTTAACATACTGTCATAACGAAAATTACACAGTTAGAAGCTGGTGATTTTTATAAGATAGTTCATATGTAATAAATATCTGTATCACAAGTGGGCAAATTTAAAACTTAGCAAATAAAAAAGATAGTATAATCTATCAAATAGGAATTGACTAGGCAAATTTTTAAAAAGGCAAAATTGTGTTTGTGTACATGGTTATATAAATAATTGTAAAATCATTTATAACACTATAGGTTGTGAATGTATTTATGTATCAAAGACTATTATAATGTACAAATACATGAGTTAAAAGCTAAGTTTTACACAGTTACTTGTGTTTTGGATTTAAATATATGTACATTAAATAAGAAATTAAATTACAAACACAGGCAAATTTATACTTAATTTCGTAGTTTTGTCAGCTCCGATACGCTGTATATAGCTTTAAAAAGTGTTAACGGTGACTTGTTAAGGGCTGAAATACCAATAGACCCGTAAATGTATTAATGAATGTTTCGGAGGTCCTTGTTTTCTCTGCTCCTATTTTGTATAGTTAATTGGACTAACTGGAATACTGTTCGTTATCTCGGAGTCCATTTTTCACAAGGTTTTTTAAATAATAGACTACAGGTCTCAGAGGATAATTTTTTAATGCCAAACATGTTCGGAGGGGGTATACATATACCCTGAGGGTGCTCCGCGGATACAAAACTTGCTGATTTTAAAATGAAGTAAATTGATTTATGTTAAATCGAATAGAAGGAAACTTCACTCATCAACAAAATAAATATTTTACACATTTTATTTTTAGCATATTTTAATTTTATAGTAAGTAATGATATAAAGAAGATTGACATCGTCCACGAACTTTTCGAACAACGTTCTTACAACTTGGCTTTGGTAAGGAACGATATGGATAATGTGACCTTTGCACCATTTAAATATGTATTACTTCTTTTAAAAAATTGTAACAAAGCAACTGAATACTTGTGGAAAATGTAATATAGCTATCAACAATGGATAGGACTGGGCCGTAGTTATTACCAGTTATATCGCACGTATCAGCTGTTGGTCACGTGACTTGTATAAAAATAGAATTGTAAAGCCGAATCTAGGAAATGGGGATAGTGCAAGGGCATACGCTTGTTTTTCAAGAAAAAAAAATGATACACATTAAAAGAAGTTTATTTCCTCTACCCAAAAAGTGCTGGGAGCTAGTCAGTGCTGTTTGCGAAGTACTTCAAATTTTTCCAAAAATGCTTATAATAGCTATAAATTTCCACCTCGCTTAAATTCGGTTGTAAATAAAAATAATGTTATGCAGACCAGGTTCAGCTCCCAGCACTTTTCAAAATATACACTATATCAGCAATAAATATTCCAAATTTCAGATAACAAAATAGTCTATGCCCTTGCACTTTTGATGTAAATCACGAATACGCTCATCGTTTTAGCGCTATTCTCTACATTCCCTATCCCTATGCAGCTTCAATCTATTAGATAAATTCATATTCTATACACATTGTATTTAATAGATTATTTTCTTTTAGTTTTAATGATTAGGTTGAAAAATTAGCAATGGTATTACATTTATTTAAGCATTTTTGTAATTATCAAACCAGTGAATATAGTCCTCTGGATCACCAGTGCTGCGTCATGTCAAGGCTGATGACGTCATATTTGAAGAAAGGCTGTATTCTATTACTCGACTGTATTGCTATCATGTATTACGATCTTACAAGATTTTATAAATAATCGATACAATAAATAAATTCAAGTTGTTTTTTACGCATGATCATGTCGTCAATTAATTTTTGTGGCTTGTTAAATTTCAATGACGTCACAGTTAAACTTACAATACAATATACAAGGAATGTGAACTCTGACCTTCCTTAACATAGCTAAGAACTTTCTCAACAATAAGCGTCATAGTGACACATAGTACATGTTGCACATCTTTTTTTCAGCAATCATTCTGCTTCACTTCAAATGCGTCCCATAATTATTTTTATCATTTTTCTTTATAAAATACCACATCAAACAGGGCATAGACGTAGCTCAGTTTTTGAAGAAATTTGACAATTTGCGTGAGTGACTGACATTACTTTTTCTATAAATTTATTTTAGTTTAATTGATTGCAGAAAGATATCAACGTGAAGAAAGTTCAAGAGAAGAAAATGGTTCAATGTTATCGTACGTACATAAAAAATGGATCTGGAAAAGCAAACTGTTAAAGGTTTCACACACATCGTCAACACCAACCCTCAAGCACACTCTCACACACAAACTGACAAACATTCTTAGGCGGCTTATTCTAAAAATGAATTTACGCTTTGAAATACGTTCTTCGGTAATAATCAACCATTTATGATAAGCAAAGATGGTTTTCAAAAACTGTGAAATATGCGGCCCGATGATCAGTGATTCCTGTGGGTTGGGGCAATACCGGTTATACAGTGGAAATGGATTTTTTCTGTGTTCCCCTGATCATCTCTGGATAATAGGGAAGGGATATATCTAAATGTCAAGTTAAAAGCCACAGCAAGTGTTTTCTTCTTTTCGCACGTAAAAGTTTGGACACATTCTGCTTTATTTGAACACAAAAAGGTCTGCTAATAAGTGGGCACAATTGGTACCCATGGGAATTCCAATAAATTGTTGGAAGACCTGGTCTCCAAAATCATATTTTTCCTGTTTAAAAAACGGACAATAACAAAATTATTGTAAATTAAATGGTAATAACAATCGGTTTTCATAAGATGAAGAAAATAATTTAGTGGATATAAAAATAAAAGTCTAAATATATATCACAATTGTTTTCATTTGAATCAGTGAGTTTTAAAATATGCGATGCCTTGAATAGCATCAGTCATAAATAATTTTAATAAATGCTACGCAGTACAAATAAGGTTACAAACGGAAATATTGGCATTTTTTAAAGATTAAATATACATACTTTATAAGGATGGGCGATTCTTTTTAAAACTTCACTGATATCAAAAGAATGTAATGTGGTTCAAATCTACATATTGTGGACATTTAAAATGTTTTAGTTAGACTTGTCACGTGTTTTCAAAGTCACATAATTTTAGCAATTATACTTGCAGTTTAGATGTCATCTATAAATTCCAATATTGCAAGGGCATAACCAAGTTAAAAATCTTAGTTTAATTCATAATACCTTTCAACCCTTTATGAAGTTTGTGAAAAGTGCTGCGAACCTATATAGATTTTATTTTTTTAATTGCTAAAATTAAATTTGTTGGACGGCAGGTTGAATATAGCTATAATTAATTTATTTGCAAGATTTCATGAGGTTCGCAGCACCTTTCAAATATCTTATGGACTTTTGTCTAAGAATTTGAAAATAACAACATGTTTGAATGAGTAAAATTATTAACTTGCACCGCGTAGTTTTTAATTTTTTAATCAAATTTACACTAAAATGGAATTTGAAGTGAGAAATATTTGTATAGATTAATAAGGATGTTTTCAGAGGGGCAGACTTTTGAACATCACAGAAGGTTTACAATTTTTTTTTATAATTTAGAAATTTATTATTTGCATCATTTGCAATGAAAGAAGGTCAAATATATACCAATCCAGGCATCCAGTTTTTGTTTGTATCATCTGTCTTTAATGCTTTTTGAGTTTATGTCTCAAAACTTGGCAAGATACATTGAGGGTATGCCCTTGCAATAAATCGATTTATTAGGACCCTTCTATTACTTTTTCAATGAATCTGCATACAAACACATAACAATATCCCTTGCATGGAGAATATACGAACAGTTTATGAATAAATATTAAAATAGACATTGCATCCAAGTTAACGGCCTTTTATTTAACTGTAAATAATATTTTGAGAACATTTTTCATTGTACAAAATATGACCTGATCAGCCTCTGTGTACAAACTATTTCATTTTTGCGAGATGACGTCACATTGACAAGTGCATCGCGATCGGTACATTGTTTATATATTGTGTGGGATTTAAAAAACGAAAAACCTTTTGTAATTATAAGTTTTATGTAGTCTACAGCTATCCAGCAGTTTGAAATAGCAAACAATTTTATTTTGTAGTATTTTGAAGACCTTATATTTTGTGTGACGTCATAGTAAACATTTCCCGTATAAAATAGGCACCACCTCCTTACTGTAACCTTAACTGTGCTGCGTAACCGTAAAAAATATATACGCTTATCCAATCAACTTAAAATCTGGTTATAAAATTTGATATAATACAAGCAAGGCTCATTATTTCATAGCATATTTTTCCTGTGTGATTCATAACATAAAGATTTTGATTTTTTAAATAGAGATGGGAATAAGAACAGATTTTGCAACAACTGCAAGGAATGTATGGGAACATATAAATGCAGCAGGTGTTTTCGGTGTATCTGCTTGCAGTGTTATAAAACAATTCTTAGTCAAAACTTTAATGAAGCTCAGTGCTGTTTTGAATTTTCTGCAAGGTTTTACCCTTGTCAACATCATAGTTCAAATGACTGTGATCAAGTTTGTCATGACTGTAAAAAGCCAATTTGTTCAAGATGTAAAACTGACTCACACCGAGATCACAATTCAACAGGTCTATGTCAATTCTACAGAGTTGCACAAAAAAGATTCTCAAATGAAATAAAGGCAATGAAAGCACAAAAAATAAAAATGGAAAAAGTAATAAAACAGGATGAATTCTTCAACGAGCAGAGGAATAATATTAGAAAGCAAGCCAATGACTTGCAAGTATGTGTTTTGAAGAATCTTAAACATTGTATTTCAGAGATAGACAAAGCTGAAAAGCAGTTTAATAATGGAAATGAAGAGCTTTTGGAAAGACATAACCGTCTTGAACAAAACATTATGTCTTACGAAGAAGAATTGGAAACCCTGGATCCCATAGAGTTCTATTTCCGTCAGCCCAAATACCAGGATAGCAAATTGCCAGAAGAAATAGAATTACTATATTTTGATCATTCAAATATTGATCCAAAATGTGTCCAAGATCTGTTTGGGAAACTTACACTCAAGAAAAATCCGGTTTTTTGCAAAAAAATTCAAAGTGTAAAGAAAGGTCCTATAGATTATAAAAAAGTCGCCTCAACAAAAAGGGTTGAAAAGCTAGGAAGTGCCAAAACTGTGCTTCCTCCTATTCCACCGACACCATCGGCCTTCCCTAGCAAACAAAGATCAAAAATAATTTCCTCCAAATCGAGCTCGAACACACAAGATATTTTAACACAATCAACTTCTAGTTTCGTTAGAACTTCACGAGGATTACTTGAAATTCCTGAATGTTTGATACAATTCAAAAGTCGTCAGAATCACAATTTTCACATTGTATACACTGAGAATATTGATGGTATATATTTATCTGGAGATTGCAAGAATATTTTTTTATATACTCATGTTTCTAAAAAGGAGCGTGTAGAGTTCCCATCTGTAGATATTGACACACTCACAGAACCACAAGGGCTAACATTAGCACCAAGCGGCCATCTCGTTTTCTCGGACGGAGACAGTACGCTTGTTGAAAAACAAATTTTGATACATGACAGCACTAGGAACAAGCTAAACATAATTACAAGAAAGCTAAAGAAATTTCAAGATTACGAGATGTGGGGAATTTTTTGTACAAAGAATGGTGAATATTTAATTTGTTTAATCCCTTATCCAAGTGCAAAGTCAGAAAAGTTGTTTGCCAAAGTTGTCAAACTCAATCAAGATGGTCAGCAACAGGAATTTAGGCAAGATGAGCAAGGAAAAGTGCTCTTTTCTAAACCGCGTTTTGTATGTGAAAACAAATTGACCTCTGATATCTGTGTGTCAGACATTGAAAACATGGTAATTGTTCTGGAGAAGAACGGAAAATTTCGAGGGAGATATAATGGACGTTTACCATCAAGTTGCAAAGATCCATTCGCTCCGCGTGGAATTGACAGTGATTCTCTGGGAAACATATTAGTCGCGGATGTGAATAATGATTTCGTTCATTTACTAGATAAAGATGTTCAATTCATTACTCACATTCTCTCATCTATAAACCCAGTATTACAACCTTGGGGTCTTCATGTTGACTATAAGGATAGAGTGTGGGTAGTTGAAAGAAATAACCATAAAGGATTTGAAAAAAAATATGCAACCGTGAGGGCCTTCCAAATTCACATTAAAACGGTTACGGAAAAAGGCGCATTATCCCTCGATTTATTGTAGATAGGTCAACACCAGAAATTTTTGTACATATACAGTAAAATATATACAAATACGGAAATTGAGAGTTGATTTTGATGATTGTGTCATTAAAATGTAATGTCTAGTACTTTTTTCAATCGTTATACATGTAATTGTTTGCATTAATGCTTCATGATTTCGTATGCAAGAATCTAACGAGAGATACGTTGAGTAATGAGCTCACTAAATAATACCCTGTCTCCCATACTGTTATCATGGCAAAGTTCATTTTTCGCTCTGGGAGACCCGAAATTAGTGTCAGATCAAAACGTAAAATAGGTGCTGCATAACTGCATTGTGTAAAAAAGAATCTCTGAAAGATTTAAATTTCGTTTAGTGGTATAGGAGATGTTGTGGATAAGAGATGGGTACCCTCCAATATTACAGATAGACTTACCATGTTAATGTTTTGCTCGATAAGCCAAAAATATGTATCCGATACAAAATTAAAATAGGAAGTGCACAATGGCACCATGTAACAAACATTCTATGAAAGTTTCATTGAATTTCATTTAGTGGAATAGGATGAGTTGAGGATAAGAGATGGGTACCCCAAAGCGTAACAGACGGACGGACGCACATCCCGATCACTATATACCATACCGATTTTCAAGGGAGGGTATGATAACAAAGAAAATGTTTAATTTGATATCAACATAATTTTCAATTGAATGATATGCCAAAAAAGTATTAGACCTTTTCTCTTTTCAAATCTTTTTCAAGAAAATGGGGTATTTTTTCTGATGAAAATTCGTTTTAAAGGGCTTTAGCAACTTAATTTTTTTTTAAATGTATTACAAATACTACTTGTAAAGTCCAATCCTTTATTTACATAATATTGTAATATGTATGGGGGTGGACTTTAGAATATTTCGTATTAATCACAGGCTGATGGTGGAGTGTTGTTTTTAGTGTTGTAAAGTAGCATCCAGTTGTAAATTTATTAGAAATGTTTTATTTTTCATGTTATTTCATTATCTTATAGTTTACTTCAGTTATTGGTGCAATACACATTGCACTTTGACATTATTTTGTAAACAAATGCTGTTTTTGTGTTACTAGACGATATAGTGAGGTATTGTTGAACAGACAGTAAGGGACAGTGATACTAAGATGTTATAGGTCAGTTTTTCGTCATTATCTACCATATTACGAATGTAATTTACTTATTTCAGCATTATCACATGTGTTGTAAATTGGGCGCCCGCCATCTTTCTTACGTTGAAAAATGTCATGTGACATATACATTGTTGTTTTACAATTGATATGATCGAAATAACACTGTCCGTGTCTTCAAATATTTATAATTGATAGTTAAATGTTATTTCATCGCAGTATTGTCATTTAATTATGTTTTATTTGACGAAATGTTTTGGAACTTGAATGTGTAGCGTAAGTCTTATGTGTTTGCATTATTGTTCGGTTTAACTATGCCATGGATTGTGTGTGTCCGTTTTATAACAGATTTCTTGTTGAACTTATTTTATTATGTATATCGAATAGAATTTATAGCTCCTACTTTACATGTAGAAAGGACATTTTTAGCGACGTTGTTTTTCTTTGTATTACACAAAATGTATGTAAAGTAGTGCCTAGAGGCTCCAGAAAGGACAATTATTTATTGGTTGTTGTGATCACGTGACCATTATAGAAGGTTATGTATACGAGCAGCGAACGCCAGTTTCACAACAACGATCACAACGATCAGATCATAATACGTACGTCATCAACATCACTGAATGTAAATTACTAGCGACTTAGGTATGAGAAAATAATGTAAACTAATACAAAACTAAGAAAAATAAAGTAGCGTATAATTTCTCCACCACACGTACACCGCAATCCACTGATTTTTATTAGGCCAGAGATGTTAAGCTAGGACTTTATATACCTGTATACTCATAGATGTACTGACTGTTTTGTTATATTTCATTGAACTTTGAAGTTTTTATTAAATGAAATATTTGAAACGAGAAATGGAACTTGGTTATGATTTACAAGGATGTGAAGTGCTGAGAAAGCTTACAATATTTTAAATCTCTTACATCTAAATATATAAAGGAAGTAAACAAATATACATTGAATATTTCATCTAGTCGCCAAAAATATATTTCCTGCTAGATTTCAAACTCAAGTTATCATATCTATTTAAAGTTGTACAATTGTGATGAGACAAAAAAGATGATATTTTAAATCTCTTACATCTAAATATATAAGGGAAGTAAACAACGCATGTGCGTTAAGGCTATATATAGAGGTTTCAATGCAAAATATCTAATTAAATTCCATAATGACTCTACCTTCCGCACAGAAAATGCTATGACTTATTTTCTAATACATTGTTAGTACCCACGACATGCGAAAGCCATTACACATTATGACGTCATATTATGACGTCATCGACCTGTACTACAGAAGTTTATAAGAGACATCAACAAAATCGCTTCGGCGAAAGGGCATACCTTACTTTGTTTTACAGAAACAAGGTATAAAAAGACGCAGGATATTCCAAGGATTTAAGATATTGCTGCACAAATGTCGGCACTGCAATTGTTTAGTTACTATTCCTGCAGTTTTAAGTTTAAACAGGGTAAAAATTCACAGTCCAGTGTAAGTTTTCTAAAATTTGTATCGATTGAGAAAGTGCATAGGATTTGTGCAGCAATTTTATAAATTTTAAGAATATTCTCCTTAATGTTATACATTATTTATTATAAATTAGATAGGATATGCCCTTGCGCCGACGTGATTTTGTTGATGTAATTTAATACTATGAATGGAAGAGAACAATGACGTCATAATATGACGTCATAATGTGCACTTGCATTAATAAACTGTGGGTACTAAGTATGTATAAGAAAATCAATTTTAATCTTCTCTGTACAAAAAATATACAAATTATGAATTTTTATTAGCTCTTTTGCATAGAAATATCCATATTTAGCCTTAACTCACTTGCGAAATATACATTGAACAGCTGCTGAATATTTCATCTATTCAGAATTTAAACCAGAGAATAGTCCTGCCTTCAGTTACATCACCGAGAGCCTCTTATTCATTTGTTTCGATGCGTCAGATATTCAGGCATTCCCAAATCAAAACATGAATCTTATACCATTTTACTCATATTTGGGGCTGGTTGGATCATTTTTGTTTCGTGATTAATAGTACAGTGTTCATTGTATAGTAACTCTATCTATAACTGCAACGTACAAAATGTATTAATCAGTATCTTTCTTATCATACTGCGCAAAAGCTTAGGAATTTGATCATTAAAAATTAAAAAAAAAATAGTTTGTGAAAGTTACCGCGACAAAGGTCACAAGAAATGGTAGCTGACATCCCACTATGATCATCCTGATTTAAAATGACACCATACTCTTTCCATCAACATTGGCTGTCTATAAAACACCAAGGGAAACTTGACGTTCTAACGTTTATCATAGTTGAGGAAGAAAAGGTTAAATATCTCAATTTACACACGATGTGTTATATAAAAAAAACCATATACATATACCAGTACTTAGTATATTGACCATCTGCTGTTCACTTTAAATTAAAATATTGTTGAATATATTTGCATCTTCCGTATTAAAGCAGAACTTCATACATATTGGCTATTTACTTTAAATTACATCAAGTCATAATAATATTTCCGTGCTCAATGAGGCAAAAGGATGGTTTGTCAAACTGGTCCAAAGTTTCTCTAAGGGTTTTACTTAGAGACATAGATTAAAGAGTTCTGTATTTATCATTTCCTTGATTTCTATGCTGCATAAGCCAACCAAAGATTTGAGCTATAACTAGTGGTACTGTGAACACGAAACTTAAATTATAATCCCGTCTCTAATATAATTTTAATCGTGTGTCAAACTGGTCCAAAGTTTCTCTAAGGGTTTTACTTAGAGACATAGATTAAAGAGTTCTGTATTTATCATTTCCTTGATGTCTATGCTGTATAAGCCAACCAAAGATTTGAGCTATAACTAGTGGTACTGTGAACACGAAACTTGAATTATAACCCCGTCTCAAATATAATTTTAATCAATCCAAAGTTCATGGTTTGCTCTGGGAGACCCGAAATAAGTGTCGACTCAAAAAAGTAAAAAGAAAAGCATTACGAAACTAGAGGTACTATGAGCAATGAGCTCACTAAATGATACCCCTCCCCGCCTCCCATAATGCCCATGTGTTGCTATATTGTTTTACGGTAATGTGTAAAGAGGAATAACTCGTCCTATCAAATGTTATCAAGAAGCTTCTATATGTGACGTCATAGGTAAGCATATAATGGCAATGTCCATGTTTTGCTATGGAAAACCTAAAATACGTGTCGAATAAAAAAGTAAAATAGGAGGTGCACAATGGAAATATGTAATAAAGATTCTGTGAAAGTTTCATTAAATTTCACTCAGTAGTATAAAAGGAGTTGCGGATAAGAGATAAAGCGTAACAGAAGGACAGACGGACGAAAATCCCGATTATATATACCCTCCCACTTTTCAAGCGGGGAGTATAATAAAGAAATGAAAGGATCATTAAATTTTATTCAGTGTTATAGGATGAGGTGTGGATGAAAGATCGGTACCTCTCTATATTATAGACAGAATGGCCATGTCCATGTTTTGCTATTGGAAAACCAAAATATGTGTCCTATCGAAAAGTAAAATAGAATGTGCACAGTAGCACCTGTGACAAAAATCTCTGAAAGTCTTATTGAATTTCAATCATCGATAATAGATAAGAGATACGAGATTGATAGCCACAAGAGTAACAGACGAAAGGACATCCCAAACACTATATACCCTTCCACTTTTTAAGTGGGGGTATAAAATCTCACAACACTATCATGACAATTCGAACGATGAAAAAACAAGGTGAAATTTAAAACAAATTAATCAAATAACGAGTAAAAGATCGTTTTAGTCAATAAACTAGAGATACAGTTCGGAATGAACTCACTAAATGATACCCCCACCCCC